AATGTATAAACCTCTTTGGGATATAAAATCATTTTCATTCTCATTCCTAAGTTAAGGATTATAGAAAGTTCCTTGCTCAAAGCTCAGGTTATTTGGTTGACAAAGCATTTGTGGGAGTTGTAGAGATTCAAACCTTCCGCAATGATTGATGCTTTTAAAGGAGACTGTTGCGAAGCGTCATTTTTATCTAGTACATAGTTCAATGTTATGTCAGAAAAATAGAACTTTCTGCTTACAGAATTCTCATGGACATTCATACCCATGTGGAAAAAACAGGGCCCGACTGTAGCTACTCCGCATACTCAGTATTTCGCAAATGAGCAGATCTGAACTAGGAACAAGTATTAGGCCTGGTTCACACCTGTACGTTTTGTAGCGTGTTCAACGCTCTACGAACGCTCTACAAAACACTCAAACATGAAAATCCCATTGTTTTCTATGGGTATGGTTCACACCTTGCCGTATTTCAGCCAGTCTGAACGCGCTACAAAACGGCCTACGCCTGAAAAGGTACGTGAGCTTCTTTGCAGCGTTTTTGTCGCGCGTTTCCATTGGGATACAGCCAAGTAGCCCTCGGAAACGCGCGTTTGTCGCGCGTTTTTTTTACTGCGAATCGACAAACGCGCATATTCGATACGCCTAGGTGTGAACAGAGCCTAAGTTTTGTTTGATCCAATAAAGCAACATACATGTCTTGCTTCCTTCCTTCTCTTTATAGGACAGTCCTGATGATGCAATGGTGGGGGTCGGCACAGACACAATTAGCTCCTGCTGAAGCCCATTGATTAGCATTTTAGCAGCTCTCCCAGCTTTAGAATAAAAGTGACCATGTGCAAATGCAAAAAAAGTGCTTTACCTCCTGTCATCCTTATGGGACACCAATGCTTTGTCCTCCTGTCTGCCCACATAGTGCATAATGAAAACACATGATAAACCCATTGAATAGTCATATGTCACAGCAAATAGCAAAGGAACTGATACACAAAACGTTGAAGGAAAGTTGTCACTAGGGATGAGCTTCGGGTTTAGGTCAACCATGAGTTCCAGGACACAGCATCATGGGTTGTTATGGTGCACCCATCTGTGTCCTTGCAATCAACAAAGCTGTCCGACCTAGCTGCCAGTGTCCGAGCAACTAATGATGCCGTGTGGCCTAACTGCTAGTGTCCTACCAACCAATGACGCTATGTGGTTCCAAGGCATCACTGGTTGCTAGTGCAAAGGTGGCCCTGGGTTTGGTTGGCTTGGGTATTCACTAAACCCAGATTTGTGGCTGGGTTTAGCAATGTCCAAGCAAACTGTGCTCAGGCATGTTTGTTCTTCACTTGCTGTCACAGGCACCAGCCCCTTGCCCTTCTCCAGGTGCTAGCCCCCTGCTTTGCTCCCTGTAACTGACAGCTCCCAGCAGAGCGGACACCACCAACCAGAAGATAAAATTGTCCCTGGACACTGCTTACAGTGGGGTGCCTCCCACTCAGACACCAGGAAGTTCAACCTATGCTGCCTTGAGACAAAGGCTGCGATCGAGAGGGATCAGGCGGCCATTAAGAGGAGTTAGGCTGGCTGCTGAGGCCAAGTGCCTCCCTTTTCTCCTGTGTCTGCACCTCTCACAGGGTGTTTAAAGCCAGTGGGAGGGCTGGGTAAGCAGACCTACAGCTAAGTGACAGAAGAATTAAAGGGACCACTATGTGGAGGATGGAGCCTGCGCCAATAGGGACTGGCAGAGGCTGTAAGTGTAAGTTACTGAACTCCGGCCTAGTGTATTGTTTCCCTATGATTCTCTGAACTTGTCCCCTTCTTCTACCATCATGCTGCCTGTCCCTTGCTGTGCCCGGATTGTTGTCCTGTGCATCTCTTTAAAACACCACCCTGTTTGCTGAACCCTTTAAAATAGGTCCCCTTGTTCGAGGGTCCTGATCCATTTCTAGATGTCCTTGTGTGATCTGCTGTCACAAAAGCAAAATGACACAATTTGACACAATATCATTGTTACAATTCAGTGATTATTTCAAATACAATCTGACATGCCAACGGTCATTCATACCTGGAGGTATAATGGAGCGCAGCCTGAATATCCAATATACCAGCCGCTCCAGCTTGTATTTAAAATAATCACTTTGAATTGTGACAATGATGTGTTAAATTGTGTCATTTTGCTTTCCTTCAACATCTTGTGTAACAGTTCATCTGCTATTTGCTGTGACATATGAGCTTTGCATGGTTTCATAATGTGTCTTGTTTTTCTTTGCACAGCTAATGGTTAGTGGATACTTACTACTCCGATCTCTTGCAGGGCTTATGTAACAGGGTGGCTACTGGCATTCAGCTTTGATTAAAGGCAAAAGGATGAAACACATTAGTAGTATTGTCATGTTTAGATTTGTATGGCCTTTTAATCAATAAACTTTTGCAAGGATGCACTTCCTATTTTATAATGGCAATGTATAGGTTTTCTATAACTCCCCCTCCAAATGTAGGTATGGAGACGAATTGTGCAGATGCAGACATCAGATCAGAAAGCTGGTGGAAGGATGTAAACAATGTAAACTCTAAGAGGGTTATTCACAAAGCTGCCCGAAGGCAGCCGAGTGAATAACCGACCCGAATTGAAGTGAGCTGAACGCTGAGCTCTCCTCCCGCACCACCCCGCCCAGCCTCCTATGAGAGCCAATCAAGGATGAAGAGCAGGTACAAGCAGTCAGCGTTCAAAGATCGCTGAGTGTTTGTCAATAATTAAGGACAGAGTATGTTTACTGTGTCCCCAATTATGGATGAATGGGAAGTGATTTACATCACTTATCTCGTTCCCACCTTGGCGTATTTCCGCCCGTCCCTAACGCGCTACAAAACGGCCCACGCCTGAAAAGGTACAGGTACTACTTTGGGCTGTTTTTTTGCGCGTTTCCATTGGGATACAGCCAAGTAGCCTTCGGAAATGCGAATCGCGGTAAAAAAAGCGCGACGATCGGGCGACAGACGCGCATATGCAATACGCCTAGGTGTGAACGAGACTTTACTGTTCATTCATGATTGTGGACACAGTAAACATACTGAATCCACAAGTTACGAGTGAACAGGAACACTTAGTATAGAGGATTCCTGTTCATTGATAACAGGGGCTGCAGAGAAAGAGATTGAGGACTCTGTGTTCTCAATTTCTTTTTCTATTTTAAAAGGGAAATAACAGGGGTCTGTTTAGACCCCTAATTATTCCCCCGACACCCCTAAAAGGAATATTAAAAATAAAAGTATTTAAATGAAATTTTAATTTCAGTGCACCTCTAATAGACATGTGCACTGGCACAAAAAAAAATTCATTTTGTTTTGATTCGGATTTTGCGTTATTTCGTTTTTCGGGATTCGGGTCCGAAATTCAATTCGTTTCGGGATTCAGACAAAATTAGTTAGCGGTAGTCTGGATGAAATTTCGTATTTCGTTTCGTTTTTTTTCCTGTTTGTTTGCTGCAGCAAAGTGACATTGGGGGAAAAAAACTTTTTTTTTTTTTTTAGTTTGCAGAAGAGGAAAAAAAAAAGCGTGAGGTTCCCACCCCAATTCATACCAGACCTTTTAGGTCTGGTAGGAATGTTAGGAGGGACCACCCCAAGTTAAAACAAAATAAAAGTGTGTGGGGTTCCCCCAAAATCCATACCAGGCCCTTTAGGGCTGGTAGGAATTTTAAGGGGGTACCCCAGCCCCCCAAAATGGGGGGTAAAAACGTGGGGTCCCCCTAACATTCCTACCAGACCCTTGATCCGAGCACTGGCAGGGCAGGAAAGGGGGGGGGGGCGATTGATCGCCCCTCCCTGCGCCTTAACTGACCACGTGCCCTCGGCATTGGGAGGGTGTCCCCATGCCGATATGGACAAGGGCCTCTCCCCCACAACCCTGACCCGGTGGTTGTGGGGGTCTGCGGGCAGGGGGCTTATTTGCATCGGGGTACCACTTTAAGGGGGCACCCAGATGCCGTCCCCCGTGAATGAGTAAGGGATACTTGTAACCCCGACCCATTCACTAAAGTGTTAAATAAAACAATTATTAAAAAGTCCAGACTTTTGATCAAATCCTTTAATTGAAAGAAAAACAAAGAGCCAATTTGTGACTATTCCTTTAATTAAAAAAATGGCTCCATCGATGTAATCCAGCGTCAATCACGATGCACGACACCCGCCGAAATAAAAAAAATCCCGCCTCATGCCAACCGCCCGAACCCAACGAAAACTCGCTGCAAAATGACATTCCTACTCGAAAGTAAACAGATGGGCGGAGCGAGCTGTGACGTCACGGCTCACTCCGCCCATTTGACATTCTCAGCTGTCAAATACTACATAGCATTCGTGAACTCCCAATGGCACTCGGCGTCTGTGAGGAACAAAAGACTGAAAAAAGAAAACAAATGCGGCCGCCATATTTAAATACTGATATGTAGACATATAAGCCGGCTAAAAATGAGTTTAGTTTGGTTTTGGATTTTTCTTTCTTTCTGGTTTCGGGTCTGAATGCCATTTTGTTTCCTTTTTCGAATTTGGATCTTTCAGGATTTAGTTTTAGTTTCAGGCGGGGTTTCCTGATTAGCCAGAAAATAGTCACGTGTCTGATTTTGTTTCATTTTAAACGAAATTCAGAGGATCCACAATTATGTTAAAAGAACATTCGTATTTGTTTGGATTCGGCCTCATTGGAATTCGGACATTCAGATGCATCCGAATGTCCGAATTCATGAAATTTCATCAGAATTCAGAACAAAATGAAATTTACATGTCTACTGATAATCTGCAATATATTAAGTTTTTGCTTCTTGGTTTAGATCCACTTTACATGCGGCTTTTACTGGCCTAGGCCTGTGCGCCGTCATCTGCTCTGGTCTCATTAATACTTTTAAAGCACCGTCTGGGGGGATAAGGAACTTTACACAAGAGATAAGTCAGCCTGATATCACACACATTCACACGCAGAGCTGCAGTCTGTAAATGTTGAGTGCCACCCACCAAGCAGAGATGTGAAATCTGAGAATGGAGGCATCAGGAAGACCTATTGGGAAACAAGAGGAAGGAGAAGGGAATTCTCACACACACACAAAGAGGAGCTGTGGGGGGGCACAGAGGAGTCACAGCATTGTGCGGAGAGAAGCTGCCGATGACAAGAGCGCACATCACACTTCCATGAGGCTGGGAAATCTATAGTTGGACCTGCAATCTGTGCTCATATCTCCGGGACGCTCAAAGCTCCAAAGTTTGGATGGACACAAGCAGCAGCTCAAGCCTCTGGATAGCTCTTGTGCTCTCAGCGCTCAGCACAGGTCAGTACACACCAGTTATACCATACATCAGACTATATACTGTCCTAGAAGTTTAATATAAACTTGGAGGAGGTGCAGTATATAGTGAAAACCTATAACGTAGGAGGACAACGACGGTAGCAAAGCATTGGCCGCCTACTGGGACCACTTTAACGTTTTGATGTATTTTATTGTATCCCACTGTACATGATACTTATAAGTAATGTGACCGATTGAAACATGGCTTCAGATGCAGGGGAAGTGGTGACCAATCCCAAGGGGGTGGTTGGCTGTAAAGATTTTCAGCATACTGTGGATCGTAATAAGTCGTTTTCCATAGGCATGTCACATGTATTATTGCAATGATATCAGAGTAACTGCGACTCCCGTGCAGACTTTTTTTGTGAATGGACTTATTTCATAGTGACGTAAATTCCAAAGGGAAGCCACAGACAATATTCAGAGGCATCCTTATATTGTAAAGCGCTGCGCAAACTGTTGGCGCTATATAAATCCTGTATAATAATAATAATGATATGACCCATCGGGAGAGGTATGTGGCCAGAGTTTTAGGTTTCTCAGCCATGCACGTTTATGCCTATCAAGCTGGAACACCCTAATTGGCTACATTGAAGGTATTAGAAACCTCCATATGTAATCTGTCCTAGGAATTTAATATAAACCTACAGAAGGGGCAGAATATATAGGGAAATCCTACAACGTAGCAGGATGATGACCTTAGGAAAGCTTTGCCTGTCTACTGGGACCTTTGAAACACATGAATGTATTTTATTGTATCTCACTGTATATGATACTTATATGCACTGTGACCAATTGAAACATGGCCTTAGATAGTGCAGGAGAGGCTGTGACCAATCACAAGGGGATGACTGGCTGGGAAGTTTTGCAGCATACTGGAAAACATGTGGACCGTATTTAGTCCTTTTCTATAGGAATGTCATATGTGTTATTGCAATGAATGATATCAGAGTAGCTGTGACTGTAGATAGTGTCATACAGACTTGTTTTGTGAATGGGCTGATTTCATAGTGACGTAAATGACCCCCCAAAGGGAAGCTATAGATTACAGACAACATTGAACGGCGCGATACCATAGGGAGAGGTTTGTGGTCAGAGTTTTAGGTTTCCTAGCCATGCACATGTATGCCTATCAAGATGGAACACCCTAATTGGCTACATTGAAGGTATTAGAAACCTCCATATGTAATCTGTCCTAGGAATTTAATATAAACCTACAGAAGGGGCAGAATATAGGAGATTGTACAATCAGAGTGTAACATGTGTGATGAGCCTTACGTTGGCTACACACAGCATACATTTGCATTCAGTATAAGGGCCAGTGCAGACCTGAGCGATCCAGGATGCGCGGCCCAGGATCGCGCGGTCGTGCACAATTGTAGACGGCAATTGCCACGCCGCCCCATTGATTTTAATGGGGTACATCCACGCGGCAACCGCAGAAAAAAGGTACATGTACTTCTTTTTTTTTGCGACACAGGACGCACGGCTGTTTTAGCCACGATCGTGTTTAGTTGCACGGGCGGAATCATGATGGGAAGCCGCGCTATCCGCCCCGCACGACTGGGGCGTCATTAGAAAATATTGGCACCCACAGCACGATTGTCGGTGTTGGACGACTCTGTGGCCGCGTGGCAATTCGTGCAATATTGTGCATGATTGCCACGCGGTCGCTGATTGCCGCGCGGTCACGGATCGCCCAAGTGTGAACCTGGCCTAAGAAATATAACTTTGCTTCTGATCATCATACATCCTCAGGGACCTAGGATTGATTGTTCCATTTGCTTTACTGGAAAGGGAACAATGTTTTCCATGCCCATGTGTCCAATGTCAGTACTGAAGAAAGGTTGTGGCAAGGTTTCTGTGTAGGCCTCGGGTTTTACATCAGTAAATGAAACTCTGGTCATGTATGGCTAGCCCAGGGGTAGGCAACCTTGGTACTCAAGCTGTTGTGGAACTACAAGTCCCATGAGGCATTGCGGGACTCTGATAGTTGTTGCTTCATCACACCTGGAGTGCGGAGGTTGCCTACCCCTGGGCTATCCTAATGACATTGTCATTAGACATCGGAAGCTGGATGTAGGAACATTATCTGAGTAACTGAGTAGATATATTTTGGCAATAGGTAACAACCCCAGCATTGGCCTTGAAATGAATAGGGATCATTGCTCCTTCCCTCTATTTATCTCTAGTTATAATTAGTAGGGATACACTGATACCGATACAGGTATCGGTATTAGTGCTGATGCTGAGTATTTGGCAAGAAATACTCGCCCAAGTGCTCCGATGCCTAGCTCGATACTTCCAGTATCAGGAAGTCATTACACGCTGCTCGGCTGCCTGATTGGCCAGGAAGCCGGCTCCATGCTTTCTCGTCACTTAGTGGCGAGTCATTACATGCCGCCTGGCTTCCTGAATGGGACTTTGTGTACTCGGTTTTCTGTATCGGCGAGTCCTGGAAAAAACAAATATTGGTACTCGTACTCGTAACCGAAATACCGGTATCAGTACATCCCTAATAATTAGCATTAACCACTCTCCCCCAACAACTCGAGCTTCCTCCATTTACTATATGAATGAATGAAGGTAACTCATCGCCAACATTTCAGATTATTTCACAGTTTGGGAAGTAACAGTTGGTGAGAGGCTGCATCCATCCCTGTTTGTTTATGCAACTCATAGCTGTGTGTGGCCCGCATTGCAGATACGGGTTAGGTTTAGACTGATGTTTAATCTGTTTATATTTTACCTTCTCTGGTTTACCTCCCCCCCTACCCTACTCATCAACATGCTGACAAAATATTTAAAGCTGACCTCCAGGCACATAAACTACCATTTAAATATATTCCCCAAAAGCCACAAACTTTGTGTTTACTAAGGTAAAGGTAGTGACATTATCACATCTGTACATAGAGCAGAGCTGTGGGAGGGACCCAGAAGGCCCCACCCACTACAGGCTGCCTGCAGAAAACTACAGAGGAGGGGGCGGAGACAAAACCAGTCACCCTGCACAAGTAGAGAGGACAACAGTGACTGGTCTTTATTACAGGAAGCTCATGCACAGAGGCAAAGTCTCATACTGTATCACTGCACAGACCTGGAAGAAGTGCACAAGGCTCACCAGGATTCAATTACGAATACACATGCCACTTGTATTTAGAGATCACCTTTAAATACATTTTCATTGCATACCCTTTTTTCTTACCCAGTGATGGTATCACTGGGTCTCTGTGCTTCTCCATGCATTACAGGCAGATCATGGCTGGTGGGAGGGGCCAGCAGGGTGGTGTAGATAGCTTCCTGTAAGCATCACAGCACCCTACCTCAGTACTCCTCTCACGAGAACCCAGCCCTGATACAAGTAATATACATCAAAATACCTTAATGGGCAGACTGAATTTGCATGCAGACCAGGAAATGCCCACATGTGATACTGAGCCTCCAAAGAACTGAAATCCACAGAGAAATACTCACCCAAACCACGGTGCCACCTTACTCCTAGACTGGTCCCTGGTGCCTCTCTCCCCCTCCGCTCCAGCAATGGAATGTCCCTCAGGGGCCTCATGTCCAATACATTGTAGTAGACGTGATGACTCCTGGATCCTTAGACCGCCGGGGGAGAACAGGCTGCGGGGACCGGTCTAGGAACCAGGTGAGGCCGAGGTTCTGGTCAGTATATCTTTGTTATTTTAGACCCCCAGACCAAAACAAACACTTAACCCTTGCAGTGCCGGAGAAGCCCCATTCCATGAGTTAAGTTTTATTCTTTAAGAACTATGTGCCTCTGTGCAGTAGGCCCAATGCAGACTATGAGAAGCTGACAGTGTGCAGTGAAGTCAGAGTGAGTGATTTCAGTACAGGGAACGAGCCGGGACAACTCTGCAAGACTGAAGAGAAGGCCGGAGTTGTATTAAACTCTCAAACTTTTATGTTTTTTTTATGAATCCAGATCAAACAAATATACATTCCCCATCAAAGTCTTTCTTTACATTTCTGCCCAAACTTACAGTCATCATGTTTCCAAACAGTTCCAACTCTCTCAGCTCTGCTTCCCTGAACTTCCTGTCCAGTACAAGGGACAGATCAGTCTCCAGTAGCTGTCCATCTACTACTAGCTCAGGGGTCCCAACCTGAAAGAAGTCATTTCGGCCAGGTGCCCTCTGTCAACCATCACCCCCACCCCACCCTGCGGAGGAGGGGGGTGCAACAACAAGGAAGGCCCCCGTGTCAGAAAAAACCAGGGAAAGGTTTACTCTGCTAGATCAAGCAGAGCAGAGTAAACCTTTCAGGGAGAAAATGTTTATCTCCCGGGTATCCGGGAACCGCAATGTAATAGCGGGAGACTCCCGGAACATCCGGGAGAGTTGAGATGTCTGACTAGCTTGGAGCAGGAAGAAGGGAGAAGCAGGGATCAGGAGAGTGGTTTGCCTTGAAGGGCCTGTATGTTTGTGGAGACACACACAGCTCACTAGCGCACACACGGGTGCCTCCATAGGACCCTGCAAGGGAAAGGAGACACCCTAAAACAGGATATCAGGGCCAGTGCTCAGGTAATCAAGTGGAAGCTAAAATGTTTAAACATCAAGGAGCAGCATCCATTGTTAGCGATTTAATTTGGAGGCATATCCTCTCAGTTTCTGTTGGCACAATGTTGGAGTGGATGGGCATTGTTAAAATGGTGGGTTGTGAGCACGGACGGATTTGCTCTCTCTGCTGCCCCAAGGACAGGCTCCCCAATGCTCCCCCCTCCCCCAGTGGAGAATGGCAACCAGATGGGATGGCGGGGGTGGCAGGGTTGGTTTTCTCGTCCGCTGAACGCTGAAAGACGGCCGGACGGGAGTCTCCTGGATGCGGGTGGGCGCCTTTAGACATTGTTCGTCCCCGCGCCCGCTGGCTGGCGAGCGCGAGTGGGAAACCGACAGGATTTTAAAACGGCCAGCGATGGCCGTTTACATACAAGCGGTCCAGCGTCGGTAAAGACG